GCTGTTCCTACCTGAAGCGCTCCCCACCCATCTCTCTCTCACCCTCACATGAACCCCTACTGCCACCCGTGGCCTATTACATAGACTGATAGACTCCCCCATCCTCACTGCCCTCTCCCCAGGAGCCCCACGCTGGGCGAGCCACCATGGTGAGGTGCTCCCTGGCTGCCCATTAGTAGCAGGGGGCACAACTCCATGCCACTGCCCTCACTGCTGCCAATCAGGTGATACAGCCAGCCAGTGCAGGGCTCCCAGGGGAGGGCGGCAAGGTGGGAAGTCCCAAGCCCGCAGATGCCCCCGCTCCATCTGACCCTGCCCCACACACAAATTTGGGGGGCACCAACCATCCATTCCCCCTCCCTGGGAGTGTGTGTAGCAGCAGGGAGCTGCCTCTGCCCGCTGGACAGGCCACCTGGGTCCCATGCACTGCTCTGGCTGGGCAGTGCCCCAGGCCCAGCCCCTGCCCCACTCCCTCCCTGACCGTGGAGGCCTCAATTTGCCCCCACTTAGACTTACCTGCAGCAAGCTGGGGGAGCTGCTCTCCACCACTGCCTGGAGCTGTATACCTGGCCACATGCATGTGTGCGCATGCACATGGCACCCTCTGCGTCCCGCTCCCCACAGCCTCTTGCAGGCTGGAGCTCTGCCAGCCTACAAGGGGAAACACTTCATGTCCTACATTTTTCTGTGGTGAACAGAAAACCTGGATCCATGCACGATACTGGAAATCTGGGACAAATGCTGTCCCAGAGGTATGCAGCCCAAGACCAGGACTTGATGTTCCCATTTCAGGACTGTCCCACCCAATTAGGGATCGGTGGTCATCCTACCCTCTTCCTGAGGGGGCCAGGGCCCTCATGCCCCTAAGTACTCGGTGCCTATTTTCCAGCCTAAGCCCAACTGGGATCCAGAAACTATGCCAAGAATCCCCTAAGCCCTCTGAGAGGCCTGCTTCAGCAGGCTTGCTCCTAGCACACCTAACGTACACTAACGGGACTCCTGGGGCCCTAGGCAACCAGTGATTACAGCACTGTCCTGAGAGGTAGGATACGTGTAATCAAGTCACTCAGTGAGAGGCTGGATATGAACCCAACACTCCTACCTCCTGGGTGAACTCTATAACCACTAAGCTCTTTGGCAGACAAGGAAAAGCATCTCTTTCTCTTCCTGTTATTCGAAGGAGAGGACACCTTACTCCAGAAGAGTTCAGAACAGGGAATCCTGAAAGAAAATAGGCAAATCTCAGTAACGTGACCAACAGTGCTGGATTTAGGCATAAGCTACTTAAGCTACAATTTGGGGCCTCTAAATAAGAACCCCCGCCCCCCCCTCCAAAAAATGTTTTCATTCCAATATGACAAAAATATACATATCTATGGCTCCACAGTTATTATTCATATTGAGTTCATAAATTTGTGCATAAATAACAATAATTCATCTTAAAATTCCATGAAACTCCATTTTTGTGGGTTTCGTGGGTTATTTTTATTGTATGGGGCCTCTTAAGCTGGACATAGTTTAGGTCCTCAGCATGTCATAATCCGGCACTAGTGACCAAGACTTGCAAAGCATAGAGCTTGCAGAGGCATCTTTCTGTCCTCAGCCAACAAGCAATACTATCCTGGGCAACTTCCTACTCAGCTTGTTGGCATTTGTGACACCTAACTTGCCCCATGCACAGGGTGACCATATGTCCCAGATCAGTTGGAATAGTCTTGTATTTTAGAGGCCGGTCCCAGCCAGCTGGTGAAAATTAAAATAAGCGTCTGGGGTGTGGGGCAGGGAGGCAAAGCAGCAGGAGCTGTGAAATAGGAAGCCCTAGCAGACAGCAAAATTGCTCTAATAAATTTGCTTGATTAGTGAAATGACCATTAAAAAGGGGAGAATTAACACCTTTGAAGAAAACAGTGGCCATTGATGGGACATTGACTCCTTAGCTTCCTGAATAGTAATAGTAGTGGTGCCCCAGCCTGCCTCTGCCTGCAGCAGCAGAGTGGGGGGTGGCAGGGTTCCAGCTTTCACATTGTCCCATGTGGTCACCCTACCCATGTATTATGCAGGGAACCAAGACACTTCTGCTGGGTGCTGACAGTCCCCCTAGATGGTAAGCACCTGAATGTTAAGAACTACAGTGCTCAGCAATGTGAAACCTATGTCCCCTTTGGGCACATGCAAATTTGAATGAACTTTGCTGTTAGTTGTGAACAGAAGAGCATGTTTTGGTGCACAGATCCAAGGTATAGACACACGGAGCTGCTTCGAAAGGAGATCATTTCCAAAGGGCAGCAGCTGGTACATTTTAATTGTTATGTGTGAATGAGCTGAGAGTGATTCACATGTAGCAAAATGCTCCATCTTTAACTCTACTTCATCCAGGATTAAAGTTGTTGGAGTGAACTGTGCTCATTCACATAATTAAAATGGAACAGCCGCTGCCCTTTTGAAACAGCTCAAAGTTTACATTTTCCCACACCCTAAAACACTCTTGGGTGTGGTGCTAAAATTGCTGTCTTTTTATCATTCTCAGCTTCTTCATACATAACAATGTAAATCTAACAGCTGCTGCCCTTCTGAAACCTTCCCCTTTAGAAATGGCTTCTGATGTACATGTCCACACCCATAGATTTAGACCATGCTTGCAGTTTCCTGTTATTAAGCCTGGCCTTTAGCTTCCTGGAAGAGAATCTGGGTTGATGCACAATATGATGTCCTGTTGTGGTAAAGCTGCGTTTTGATGTGTCAGTGTTTGCACAGTGGTGGGGTGTTTACATTGCAAAACAAACATCAAGTAAATACAGCATTATGAGGACCTTGCCCTGAGGGAGTAAAGCTGGTTGAATTATTCATTGCAAGCAAGTTTCATAACCAATTTAGCCTTTTTTCTGTTCATGAATCATTCACGAAGCGATCTTAACTTCTGCAAATATTTCATTAATCATAATTTTTCATCTAATAGTTTGAACAAAATTCAGCCTAAAGGGTGTTCATGAACTGCTCACTTCAAGACTCAATAGCCATTCATTACCTATAGCATGGGACTGGTCAGTCAGGTCATACAGCTTTCTGTCTGAATTGTGATTGGAGGGCAGAAACTTTTTAAAACAAAAGACCAGCAAAAAGCAAACAAATACGTGGAATGATGCAGTTTGTCCTCATGTTCCTGGACGTTTGAGGATGTCCAGATATATTCTCAGTCCCCTTGACAATGCCTTGTGATCAGAGCATAGGACAGCAAAAACCCCAGAGAACTAATCTCAGTACTTTGATTTGTGAAACTCCTTGTGAATGCTTGCTTAGTTGTGTTATAATTGCTCCAGAGACCAGAGGTTTTACTCATGATTTGGGATTCTGTTATTCCTAATGCGTCTCAAGATGGGGGTTTGGGGAGTGGGAGTTGTTTAGCCAACTCTACCAAGGACATCTTAGAAGGCGGCATCAATCACATGGCTAGCTATGGCAGATGGGTACTTCTGAATTCCTGCACATTTGCTTTCCCACCAAGCCTTGTTATATGGCACTGATCTACAGATGGGAGGTATAAAAAGCTATCATTTTTTACCTAAGAATTCCTTCCCCTCTCATTCTAGGCAGCTTTGGTATTTCTTGATGCATGAAAGGTGCTTGGGTTGCATCATAAGAAGGATGAAGATGGCTCTCCACAAGCTAAGCAGTGTTGATGGATGAACTAGACTTTCTTGGAATAAATAGCATATGGTTGATAGTATTCTGCTTTCTGAACAAGGGATTCTCCTTCAGTCTAGCCTGACTTGATGTAGAAGTAATAGGAAGCCATTAATAAAAAAAAGATGTCCATGGAAGAAGACAGTAAAACCTGAGGAAGAAGAAATTTGCTCCCATTTCATCCATAATTAGGAACAGTGAGATTGTTATCTACAAAATGTTTAAATCTTCTTATGACTACAACACGCAGTTCTCCTCATAAATTGGTGTAAATCAGAAGTCACTCTATTTATGCCAGCATAAATCCAATGTAAGTAAGACAAGACCCTGCATTTTAAAAGATGATTTTTAATGTAATAAAAATAAACAAAGTATAGTTTTGGTTGGACTTTTCTGTTAGTTACTAGCTTTTACATTCAAATGCCAGAATTGGTGTAAGAAATAAATTGAAAATGTAGGGGAAAAGGGACTTTGCGAATATGTGCAAGTGTCTAAAGTGAAGGAAACAGAAATGTTATTTACTAAGAAAGAGAAAAGGCAGGGTGGAGGCAGTCAGTACCAACCTCTCTTCCAGGATAAGGTCAAGAGGAACTAGTAAAAGTCACATTCCTTTTACATCGCAGAACTTCTGAAAACTAAATGGTGCAAAACCTTGGGAAGCTGACTATAGGCAACAATCTTGCCTTGCCAGGAACATGGAAAAGATCTATGGGATCACCTCATTTAGTTTCTATGCTAGGCTGCTTAGAAGCAAGTTGATTTGAATTCCCTTCAGTCCTTTCCCCGGTGTCCTAAAATATGGGTATCAGTTTAGCTCATCCACAAAAGAAATATGAGCGTTCATCACTCCTGCAGCAAATCAACTCTTCTGCTTACCCTGATGAAGAACTAATGACCTATTTATTTTTTAGTCAACTGCTTTAAAAAAAAAAAAAACCTCTTGAAAAACTCCATTTGCTCAAATGCCAAAGAGAAGGATGCAAGTATCAGTGTATGAAGGCAAGTCAGGGTTGTCATGGCAATATCATTCGCACAGCACCTTAGCTGAACCTTCAAAACAAGTTTCTTCCAAGCCTTCTGCACTCAAATGTCACATCCTTTTATTTGGCAGACTGGCATTCCAGGATGGAGCAGCAAATGTGTCACAAAGCACGAGAGTCTCTTCTGGAGAATTCAATAAGATAGGGTTACATTTCTAGAAGCATTAGCTATACCAGTAGGCCTTCCATACATGGGCAGTCCCACTGATTTCAAATGTTAAAAAAAAGAGTTGCTGTTTCAATGCAGTTTTCAAAGTAGACAATTTCTTTATTTTTCAAAATGTGACTAGGACAGGGGTTGGTGACTTATAGCCCGTGGGCTGAATCCAGCCTGCCAGGTGATTCCATCCAGCCTGGGAAACCCTGATATCAGCAGCATAAGAGCCAGGCAGCTGACCTTCCAGATAAGCGCATTAAGCATGGGCGGTGTGCAGTTTTACGTGTTGTGAAAGTTATTTATTTTTATACCATGACATCTAATTGGCCTACTCTGCCAGCAGCAACGTGGTCTTGCCCTGGATTGCTGAGTTTTCATCCATTTTAAGGGAAAAGCAACGTGTAAGAAGTTCCGTGACAAAAACTACAATAAGAAGAGAGTTAGGGATCCTCAAAGCAGTCTAAGGGAATTAGACACAACTTCCATTAAACAGGCATCAGGCCAAATGTATCAGTGCCATGTGTACTAATGGAGATTTTGTAGTACTGCCTAAAAAACAACATTTACCAGTTTTTCACAGGTAAGTCCCTGAACTGACTCTCAATGACTTTTAACCATTGGCTAGATTTGACCCATAGCCCAGAACTCCAGTTCTCCTGTAATCATCTCATCAGGGTTGAGTGAGTGCCTCTGTTTCTGTACATGGTTACATGTGGGCTTAATCCTTCGGAGAACAGGGGTCCTAGAGATGAAAGTGCAATCACTGTAGTTCTGTGGGTTTAAGGCTGCACAATTGCATTGCTCTGTGATAGAAGCTAATAACTCATTATTTTCAGGCTGAGCATGGCTGCCTGTGTGGAGCTATAAAAGAATTGGTATTCTACTTGATTTATACCTCTAACTAAGCTAATTAAGCAATAATTCTGGAGGAATCCATCATTGTGACAGCCTTGTTGATTAACCATCCCAAAAGCAAAGTCAAAGGTGCTTAGTATCCTGAAAAAAAATCCGCTGTCAATAAAGAGAAACAGGAATTTGGCTACAATACAGCTGTGACTATATTTTCAACAACAAAAAACAGAGGCTTAATATTATTTACACTCAGGAACGGCAATTAAAAAGTCAACATTTGTCAGATACCACACAGCTATTTGCTATTCTAAGTCACAGGAGAAACAGTTGCATCTTAGATACTTGTGACTGATTGACTTTTGTCTAATGCAGACTTTGCAATGGTGACCACTCTATCAAGTTTTATATTGACAAGCTAGTAAGTGTTGCCAAGCCCTGCACTGTTATTGCAAATTGTGCAATATTTGGAAATTCCCTGAAAGGCACACCTCCGGGATTTGTGCAATTACATTTAAACAAATAAATAAATAAAAGCCAATACTTTCATGAAAAGAGGTTTCTAATCCTCATGATTATGGAGAAAAGCTTAAAACATGACCCTTAAAAACTCTGATACCAGAAAACATACAAATCCAAGAGCATACCATTTTAAAAACTCAAGATTTTAAAGCCAAACTCATCATTTCTTTTTAACAGCTGAGGACGGAAGAAGGGAATTCTACAGTGATGGATATGGGATAAATACCTAAAAAACTGAGCTAGTTCACTAAGTGTTTCAAGAGACTAAAAGGCCTTTGTACATACTACAAAACTGGCCTTTAAAATGGCTTAAATGCCCTTTTGTACCACTTTGATGGCATTGCTGTTTACACTGTCGGCACCATATTGTGTGTTAAATGACTTTGGGATGTAGCAAAATAAAAGATGTCTGAGGTGTTCTAGTTTGCTACCTTAGTAGCCACAGAGGGAAGCACCGGGCCCTGTGCAGCTCAGGGGCTGTGCAGGCAGCCCAGCTGCAGCCTGGGCAGGCAGGCTCCACTGAAAAAAAAAAGTGGCAAGCCTGATCTTTTTTTTTTCCTCCCTGGAGTCTGTCTGAGCTGTGCAGGGACCCAGTGCTTCCCTCTGCAGCTGTAGTGCCCCCTGGGACCACTTGGGCTGGGTGCCTGCAGGCGCATGCCACCTGGGGAGCACCACCCCTGCTGCAAAGGGAAGCACTGGCCCCTCCGCCCCCACAGCTCAGGGACTGCTCAGCCCGCCAGCCGCTCACCCTCCTCCCCCTGCCACCGGAGAGGCAGGTAAAGATCAGGCCCAACTCTTGTGTACGCCCCACAGGAGTTTACTTCAGTTTAAATTGAAGCAGGAGGGGAGAGGGGTTAGTCCCTCCCCTTCAATTTAGGGAGAATTAAATTGAAGTAAACCCCCGTGGTGTGTACAAACATCCTAAATGATCCCTGAGTGCTCCCAGACTGCCTCTATGGGCATCCACATTCAAAGCGTAGATCCTTTAGACTCCCTATCAGCTGCTGCTTAACCCTGGAGATGCTGGAAGCCCTTGAGGGGGTAGGTCCACAAAAGGATATAGGTGTCCTGCTTCCACTTTTGGCACCCTAGCTCATGTGTGAGAGCTACATAAACAGTTAGGCTGGGGTTAGGTACACAAGAGTCTGTGGACACTTAACTTTTCTCCAAAACCTTGCCAGCAGTCTGAAGTTTTACTGCTGCACATACTCAGAAGTGCCCACCACCTTAGGTGCCAAGATGCTCAGTTCAGCCATCTTCTACCTACAGCCCACTGTGCATCACAGACTCATGCAAACCCCTAACTCTGAGAGCAGCTGGTTTTCAGACACATGCCTCTCTCCAGCACTTCCAGTTGGCTGGCTTAAGCATCCCTCTGTTCAGCACATTGGGTGTTGCGAGTCCCACTGTGAGGCACCTAATTTTCCCCTGATATAGGGGACTTGCACACACTTTTGAATGCTACTCTTAAATGGCCAGGTACCTAAATGTCAGGGAGGAGGGGGTTCAGCTAAATGTTCCAGTGCCAAAATGCCTCAGTTTCCATTAGCATTGCTCTACATGTTCAATTCTGTCTCATTCTTCAGGCTGAGGAATACCTAGGTTCCTAGCTCATGCCTAAATCCAATGTGGGATCCACACTAGACATTTCTCTGCCTATCTTGTTTTCAGGACCTGATCCAGTAAACTCTCTTAGAGCAGACTGCCTGGATCAATGGACAAATGCAATAGGTCCTTCTGCCCAACCACCAGCTCAGTCTTTAGAGTGCTCATCTAGGTTGTAGAAGACCCAGCAGTTCAATTCTTTCCTCTGCTTCAGAGGATCTGAACCTATCTTTATCAGTTCCCAGGTAACAGCTATGACTGGCTCAGAGATGTGGCTCTTTCTCTTCCTGAAGACATTCCAGCTTCCATGGAAGAGTTAAATTATCATTGTGCCAGGAAGAGAGAATAGCACTTCTTAGCCTGACGGAAGAGGGAAGGCATGTTCCAGTCTCATGACTATGACTATTTAATATAATATAGCCTTTACAGGAGGGACCCAGGCCTCTTTCCATGCCCCACACCCAACCTAGTAGATTATGGAATCATGGGTACTCCCTAGCAAGGAGGGAAAGAAGCACCATTAAAGGTTTAGATAACACCCACCTCCATCCTTCCTCCTCCCTAGCTGACCTGGCTGGTCCAAAGTGACAATGAGTCTGGTGGGATACACTAATGTGTCAGTGCTCAACGGCTACCACTGATAGGCCTATAATTGCCATTACTTTTGTATTGAGGGTCGCTCACTAGGAAGGAAGAGGATGATTAAAGTGGTCTTTTCTAAGCAAGCTCAACAGTGTCCTCTGTCCTAGCCAGTCCCAAGACATTGTCCAACCCTTGCCACTGCACACCTGTCCCTTTCTTCTCTTACACACTTCTGCCTGCAGCATTCAACATCACCTGTGAGTCAAGCGTGATCCCACTCACCTTGTTCAGGAGCCTGGCACCCATGAAAAACTGATCACCTTTTACCATGCCGGCCTGTTTTATTTTTCTGTGGAGTGACAGTGACACCTAGGGGCAGGTTAGGCTAAACACAGCAATTGTTTGCCTATTTCCAAGTAGATGATTTCATGGGAAAAAAACACTTCCTGAACTTTAAGCCTATGAGATTGAATGGGAAAACACACTGTTCCCCTAAGGAAGGACTGTCTACAGAAGTTGAATGTATCTACTGATCCCAACCAGGGGCTCCAGGGCTCATATGAAGGAAGCTAATTACAGAGGAAGCTGCATCAGATGTTGCTAATTAGCATTGTTAAATGCACTGC